CTCTCTCTTCTCTTCTTCTCTCTCTCTCTCTCTCTCTCTCTCTCTCTCTCTCAAAAATTCAATCACGATTATGATTAAATTAAACAATAATTGGATAATCGAAGCAAGCTCGTCAGGATCAGAGACGCGACTTTTGATCAGCCTCTCGAAAAAAATGAAAGTGAACACAGATCGCGCACAAACATCGACGAGAAGCTCGTAGGCGCGAAATTATAGGGAGGATGAAAGGTGTGTGTGCGTGTATAAAAAGAGAGAGAAAGAAGAAAGAGAGAGGAGAGCGGAGTGAACGGGATGCTGGGAGGGCCCAGTCACAAGGTGGTGGTGTTGCGGCTGCTGACGGTGGGTCTGGCTCTAGGTCCGAAGTGAAAGCGCCTGGCGAAAGTCACTTCGTGTCCTTACATAACACGTTTAGGTTATTCAGACGTCATATACCGCGAGAAAAGAATAACGGATTATTAGGCATGTGCAATCGTAGCTGGGAAAAAACTGACACTTGTGGTCGGTGTCGATAGTGCAACATTGTCTTCGTCCCTCTGGATATTCCGTATGTGTTCTTTCGCGAGGAACGAGAATAAAGGAAGAATTGAGGCGGGAGAGGGAGAAGATGCAACGCAACGGTTGGGAGGGCGTTGCGGTCGACGATCGATCTTATCGTTTAATCTTCTCTCGAGAGCGAAAATAACGGTAAAATTGAATTACGTTAATCTCCTGCCTCCGGGGATCTAAACCGCGAAACGCACTTTTTCTCCGCTGATTTCGTTTCATTTGTCTTGGAAACAATGATTGGGCGAGTTCCACGGACACGTATAATTTAGGATTATTTCGATGGAAAGTTTGTAATTTGGTAACGCGATTCTTCTTTCGAAGAATTACCGACACGAAAGAATTTCCTTAGTTTCACCATTTAAAAACGGCATTCCTTCAAGTTACTTTCGATACGAACCAGATTACCTTCCTTCGTTCGTGGTCGTATTTTTATATAACTAAAAATATTCTTCTTTGTTTACCTTTTTTTTTTCCACAGGCGCAACCGCCCAGGAAACGTTCAAATGCCCGGACGACTTCGGTTTCTATCCCCATCATATATCCTGTGACAAATACTGGAAATGCGACAACAACGTGGCGGAGTTGAAGACTTGCGGCAATGGACTCGCATTCGACGCGAGCGATAGCAAGTTCCTCACCGAGAATTGCGATTATTTGCACAACGTGGATTGCGGGGACAGGTCGCAACTCGAGCCGGCAATCAGCACGCCGCACTGTCCGCGTCTGTACGGTATCTTCCCGGACGAAAAGAAATGCGACGTGTTCTGGAACTGCTGGAACGGAGAGGCATCCAAGTATCAGTGCAGTCCTGGGCTCGCTTACGACCGTGAGGCAAGAGTCTGTATGTGGGCCGATCAAGTACCTGAATGCAAAAACGAGGGTACGTTATTGCATTTTGCAAATGCAACGAAACGAATACAATTTTGCTTATTCGAAGGTTATGGGATGGAACCGAGATGTAAACGTTAGTCTCTTCTTTTTTTTTTTTTAAAGATCCGAAAAGATTCGAACCACTAAATCGGATAAAAAGAAAGGCATCGGTTCCTTGTACGATTTTGTATTGAAAAGCATAGTTTTCTAAGATTAGTTTTTTCTTATTTCTTTTTTTATTATTATTATTATTATTGTTATTAAAATATCGAAGAAATTCAAATCGATTCGGATAAAAAGAAAGACATGCGTTCTTGTATGATTTTAATTGGAAGTTATTAATTTTTTCTCGTATGTTTATTTATTAACACAGAACCGGTAATTTTATTACTAGTTTTATTCGATGGCCAGGTAAGTTTCATATATAAATAAATTTTATCGATAATTGTATTTGATAACAACTCGAAAATTCTCGCGTCTTTCGTAAACATTAGTTATGACTTTCGTGCAGTTTTATAGCATTCGACGAACATAATTAAAAGGAATAATTAACACATTTCTATATTTTTTTTCATTCCTTTTATATTCTGTAAAATTAACGCAGTAAAAAACTTGTCTCTTCGAAGATGGAGATAATATCATTTAATATATCAAAAAAATTGAAACGTACAAAAAATCTATTAATCCTTTCCTTGAATATCATTCATTCACCGCGTGGCTTCGACCAACGATACGTGACGATCCGTTCCTACGCGCATCCTGCGTGCGTTTCCTCGATTCGAACTTTCTCGTCTCACTAACCGCGAACTATTACGCATCTCATCACGATTCTACATATGCATATTTATCGCCATTGTGCAGAAGTCGCAGGAGGTTTCACGTGTCCAGCCGCCGGCGAAGTGAGCGGAGCATCCGGCAGTTTCAGCAGACACGCCCATCCCGACGACTGCAGAAAGTACTACATATGTTTGGAAGGTATCGCGAGAGAGTACGGATGCCCTATCGGCACTGTGTTCAAGATCGGTGATGCCGATGGCAGCGGTGCCTGCGAAGATCCTGAGGACGTTCCTGGATGGTGAGTCGAATCTCTCTATCTCTCTCCTTTATCAAAGATTTTCTGAGTCTTTTTATATCCGTGATATCTCGTATTTCTTGGTTACTCGCTGTAAAAAAAAAAAAAAATATTCTAAAAAATCTCATTTCGAAGGGAGAATGTAGAATTTGAGTAGATCGAGGAAGCTTTGCGACTGTGTGTATTACGTAAAAGATAAATTCTGGACAAACCGGAATATCCTCGATTATGGTGTAGTATAAGTAATAAGATTCGTAAGATCTTTTACTTATTCGAAAGTTCGAAAGATATTTCACCTTTTTTAAGTGATGTAATTAAACGGATATTTGGTGTATACTTTGCTCTCATAATGCGTGGAAATAAGTTTTATGTAACAGCCACCCAAATGTTGGTAACATAATATTTACATAATCTTTCTTGAGGACAGAAATAACGTGAAAGTCAATAAAATAATTTCTTTACGTTAATTAATTTTATTCGTGCTATTCTTTTTCTCTTCACTCTAGTCGTATAATTTTCTCTCAAGGAATGGTATAACAAGTAATCATAAATATCGTTAATTAACAACAAAATTATCTAACATATGTAATTAATTTTCACAATTTAAAGGTATATATTTTTACGGAGAATTGTCCAATTAAATGTTATCACTGAATGTTACGAATACTCAAATTCCACTAAAAAAAAAATTAACCTCTTCAAAAACGCTATGAGATATCAAACTATATACAGTATCATCTCAAATCAATGATCGTTTTTTATTTTCATTATTAAAAATTCCATGCGAGCTCTTCGACGAATTTTAATTTACTAACCTTCTCCTTAATGTTTCGAAGAGGTTAACTTTCACACTCGTGCATAAATTTCGAGACAAACTATACATAGCAACGTGTTCCCAAAGCACCGACGCACTTAAACGAATCCGTGATCACCTCTTCTCATGTAAACATGACATTAACTATAATAGAAAAAAAAGAGAGAAAGAAAAAAGAAAGAAAAAAAAACACAAGCTGCACGCGAAAACAGGTGGCACATCACGCATGATCCTAACCTCCGGATTTTTCCCGGTGTTCTGGTTCACAGTGAGGATTACTACGGTGACCTGGATCTAAAGAGCATCAGGAAGAGCGAGCTGCTTGCCGGAATTCAAAATTCAGGCGAGACCAGGAAGCCTCCTCAAGGCAAACCGAGGCCCCCATCGGCACCTGCGAGGCCCAACGCATCCCTTCAAGAATAATTTCTCTCATCTTCCTTTCCTTCTTCCTCTTCCTCTTCATTTTCTTCTCCTCTTCTTTTTCCTTTTTCGTCCTCACTTTTCACTCTTATCTGAATTTCTTTCCTACGCATATTTTTATCTTGTGCAATACGCGCACACACATACACACACGCGCGCGCGCGCGCGTACACACATACATACACGCATAAGCGACAGACACGTATATTTGTGATGCTCGGTCACGTTCTTCGTGTGTCCCAAACTTTTCTGAAACAAATACAAAAGTTTCGAATAGTTTGCTATTATTTACCATTATTTCGTACGTGGCTTGGCTGGGATACAGGAGGAATATCGTGATAGTCTCGTGACCGAGGAGTTATATGTCACAGAATTCCCTCACTCGTGTCGAGGTTATTTCGTCCATGCGGCTCGATGCGCCGCAATACGCGGGAAGAAGTAACGTCCGTGGAATTTTAATCCTTCAAGCAGTGCATCGACTCGAATTAATCGATTTTATAAAAATCGAACGAAATAAAGTTTGCATACCTTCTATCTAAATGCACAGTGTTTACATGTGAACGAATAATCTCGAACACTTTCGTTGTCAAAATTAACATCGAGTATTAAATTTCGAATCGATAATCAAAATTCGATCCCCAATCGTATCGTCTCGTCGATAACTAATCTCATCCCTTTTCCCTTTTCTTGTCATTGTTTACTTTTATCCATTTCCCTTTATTTCTTTCTTCCGTGTACGCAATCTTGTTAGCTATCGTAAGACGTACGGTTTCGAAATAAAGCTCGTTGATCGTTTTTAGGTTAGAATTATGTCCATTGAATATTTATATTTTTGAAAAAAAAAAAGAGAGATCTAAGGGAATGATTCGATGGACAGTGAAACGTTTTTTCTTCTTTTCAATTTGTTTCGATTCGAGCTTGTCCCTCACGCTCTCTTGACCTCAGGTCAAGCATGCTTGCATAAGCTAGACTCGTCCGTCGTTATATTTTTAAGTAATGTGAAAAATTCGTATAATAAAAGAACAAAAATTCGTGAAAAAAAAAGTCTATGTGCTTTTCCTATCGATCCATCTTATCCTTTGATCTATCTTATCCTTTGATCCAGGTGTTTGTGTATTTGCTTGTTTCGTTATGTGAAATCTGTTTTTCGTGATTTCTAACTCTTTGCATGCTCATTTTTATTGAAAATGTAACAATTTTTTAAATGTAAACACAATCTATTGTTGTCATTCGATGCACTATTTATAACGTGAAGATGAAAGCTTAAAACTGAGAACCGTATAAAATGATTTAGAAACAGGTAATGACAATACTTATCGAAATTTACGTGACTAAACTACGTTTTAGTGACTAAAATAAGATTTTTCTTATTCGTTTCATATTACATTTTATTATTAAGAATATATTTTATATATTATATTATACGTATTAAAACTTTCGGTGTTTTATTTAAATTATATGTTAATTATTAACATGTTGATTTCGATGATGTTTTGTTATTGTTTAATCTTTTTACTGAGTTATCCATTTTTTAGAAAATAAATCTCATTATAATAAATAATAAATTTTATAGTGAAGACTACTATGGGGACGTGGATCTAAAGACTTTACGGAAATTGGGATACAAAAAAAAGTGACGAAGAGGACAAATATGCAAGTTCAATAATTCTAATCGACACTAGGATTGGAAGATCTTAAAATTCGTCAAAGTTCATTAATTTTCTGCATCTTCCATTGAATCAAAATAAAATAAACTCGTATATTTCATTTCAAATCATTCGCAGTATCGTTCATATCTTTTGTCATATATCATAATTGTAATATAGGTTACGATATATGTAAATAAATTACTATTATAAAACGATAAAAAATATTGTATATGTAATATCATGATCAAAATAAAAATATAGACCTAATATTCAATGCAATTTTTGTTTTTCTATACTTTGGAAATACTAGAACCTGCTTATCATTTTGAATATTTTTTATGTTACTGTGTTATTTTGAACAATTCGACTCGGGATAAGAATATAATGATTAAAAAATTAAAGCTAAATATATCAATATAGAATTAAAAATAAAAAAATAGAATATTCTATCATATAATATTTTGTAAAAATACTTTTTTATAAATATTCTATATAATATCTTATAGGCATATATATATTGCAATTCAACATACATTCAACATATATATATATAAACATATAAAAAATGTGACATTTATATTTTTTGCATAAAAGATTAAGATACATAGTAGTTTTAAAAAAGAAATGATGAAAACGTTTAATTGTTACTTTGTTTATATTCATGTATCAAATATAAATAAAGAGAATAGATAATAACAAAAAGGACAGAGATAGATAAAAATTATTGAAATCAGTGCCATCTTCAGAGTGCCGCAAATGAAACATACAAAGAAAAGACAAAAAATAGTAAGAAAAGGATAGAAATAAAATAAGAATTGATGTTTAGTGCCATCTCTTGAATATCAAATATAACTTTTCAAAGATAGAATACGATAAAAAATAAGAATTAAAGATCAACACCATCTCTTGAGTATATTTAAAATGATTCTTCAAAAAAGATATCTTTAGTATTCGAGAGATGATGCTGATGGTCAATTCTTACTTTATTTCTATCTTTCTCTCGCTATTTTTTGACCTTCGTTTATGTGTCATTTACGACATTTTGAAGATGGCGTTGATTTCAATATTTTTACCTATTACTGTTCTCCCACTACATACTTATAAATCATATAATTTTATTTATCAATCAAATCAAATTTATATGATAATTTCAAATATCGATTAAGCTATTTTATAAAAAAAAAAGTAGTGTTTATATTATACGAATTTTAGAATGTATATTCATAGTTTTCACGAAATAAAATAATATAATTTTTTTGTTAATTTTTGTTAACTAAATAAAGTATTATATTTATTATCATATTATACGAAAAGGTGAGAAATTACATCTGTCAAAAATAAGAAGTCAGCCAAGGCAATTATATAAAAGAATTCTAATCTTTAAATGTTGAAAAAATTATTAAATTCTTTTAAAAATAAGTTATAAATATATTTATTAACTTATATATTGTTTCATTCTTATTTTATATTTTAAATTTACGTAAAAAGAATTATATTTATTATGTGAGTACATGCGAATAAATGTAATAACTAAATTATTGATTAAACAATGGAAACAGAGGAATATGATTTAAAAAAACAACAATTATTACATACAAATAAAGACTGTATGCATAAAAATCAAACTCAAAATGAACATATAAATAATTTATTTAATAAACGTTTTACAATTGTAAATAATGAATGTTATACAATGCCTGAACCAACAACAATGTTTAAAGATTGTTTATGGACAGTTGATGAATTACAATTAATAAAAAATGAATTGAATGCCATAAAGAATTGCTTAAATAATTATGATCCTGATAAATGGCAATTACATACAAGAATAAGAAACAGTGCAAAAGATGTTATGACTCGATTGAAAACTTATATTCAGCCAGAACTTTTAACTCAAGCATGGTGTAAATTTTATGAAATAGTATCATCGTTTCCTTTAATACCAATGAATTATATTCGTAATAATAATAAATGTTTTAAATCTGTTCATTTATGTGAAGCACCTGGAGCTTTCATCACATCTTTAAATCATTGGTTAAAAACAAATGTTCCTAATATTAAATGGGATTGGCTTGCTATGACCTTAAATCCATATTATGAAGGTAATCCGGCATCTATAATGGTTGATGATGACAGATTCATTAGACACACATTAAATCATTGGTGTTTTGGAGAAGATAATACCGGAAATCTTATGAATTTAAAAAATTTGAATGAACTTATAAATGTAGCACAGCCACATTGTAATATATTCTTGATTACTGCAGATGGTAGTATAGATTGTACAGATGTTCCAGCGGAACAAGAAAATGTTTTAATACATTTACATTTTTGTGAAACCATAACTGCATTACAATTGTTAGCTACAGGAGGCAGTTTTTTATTAAAAATTTTTACTATTTTTGAATGTAATACAATATGTCTCATATATTTATTATCTTGTTGTTTTAGTAATGTGAGTGTTATAAAACCAGCAACAAGTAAAGAAGGAAATTCAGAAACATATGTTGTATGTACAAACTTTAAAGGGCCAACATTTATCTCACCTTATTTAGAAAAATTAAAAGAGCATTATGAATATGGTCCTAAGCAAGCAATTTTTAGTAAGCATGATATTCCATATGCATTTATGGAAAAAATTATACAATGCAGTGAATTTTTTAAATCTCATCAATGTCTTGTTATAGTAAACAATATTGTTACATTTAACTCTGATGAATCTAAAATGTTACAAGATACAAAACAAATTCAGTGTATGGTTGCTGATAAATATGTTAAAGATTACAATGTAAAAAAATTAGAAACAGGAGAAATTGTAGGAAACATAATTATATTAGGAAGAACCATTAATACAAATTTATATAAAAGATCATTACAAGGATCATATAATGAACGTTGTGAAAAACAACAATTAGCACCTTTAGATAGGATAGAAAGTTTTTGTAATGATTTTAATAAAATTGAAATTCATGTATCATCTAATGAAGTTATAAAAGTAAGCTATTTTTTAAAATTCTTTTTCATTATTATTATATACTCTCTTTAAATAAAATTTTTCTACAATATAAATTAAATTTTTACCTTTTATAGTACAAATTCTCTGAATTCCCAGAAGATTTGCAAATTCGTTCAGGAAAAATGTTTCACAAAATATATAATTCCAAATTTTGTAATAAAAATGCTTTAAAGATATTAAATGGTATTGATGACATCCTTAGCAAAATAAATTTGAAAATACAATTTCCTTCGATAGAAAGTATAGAGAATTTAAAAGCTAAAATTTTTTGTAAACCAAAACACGAAATTTTAATTTTTCGATATACAGATATTTATGATGGCCATGAAATAATCACAGAAATTTATGATACATTACAAAAACTTGAAATTGGAGCAACATTAGTTTTAATTGGTTATTCATTGTTTACTCATCTGAGTATTGAACTTCTTTATCTTATAAGCTGTGCTTTTAATTTGTTAAAAATTACAATATGTAATCATGTAGGATTGAAAATCACATTACATCATTATAATTATAATCCTAAAATATTAAGATTTTTAAATGAAATTAAAGCTGCTTCTTTTGAAGCACAAAAACAAGGGAGAGCTATTTTGGAAATAATTTCTCCATCACTATTTTATAAAGGTAAAAAAAATTATATATTAGTATATTTAATTATAATTTTTCAATATTATATTTGACATTATTTCCTTTTTTAGGGTGTTATTTATGCTATTCAGCAGACCTTAACCATTGGGTCATAAAAACATATATTCATTATGTATTACATATGATGAAACAAAGTATAAATTAAAAGATGATCCAAAATAAACACCAAAGTTGTACCAAATTTTTGATATAATAAAATATAAATGCATATTTGTCAATGGTGTGTGCTTTTTTCCCATATTCATAATGCATTTATAAATATTTAAAAATATAAAATATATAATAGAATTAGATATAAATTTCAATTTTATTATATAGAGAAAAAAATCAAACTCAAAATGAAAATTCTTGGCTGCCTTCTTTAAAAAAATATTATAATCTTAATATTGTGAAACTTATATCATTTTAATTTACAATATATTCTTTTAGATTAATACAAATCTCTACTATGAAATTTAATAAAATATACAAATATGTTCGTTTATTTTCAACTGAACATATTATACCAAAAGTGTGTATTATTGGTGCAGGACCAGCAGGATTTTATTCTGCGCAACAATTATTAAAGGTAAGTGCAGTATAAATTATACATCAAAATAATGTTATAATAAAAATAATTTTACAGATAAATAATAAAATAACAGTGGATTTATTGGAAAAATTACCAGTACCATATGGTTTAGTACGTTATGGTGTAGCTCCAGATCATCAAGCAGTGAAGAATGTTATTCATAGATTTGATAAAATTGCATCTAATCCACGTTTTCGGTTTGTAGGAAATGTTAATATAGGAAAAGATGTTACCATAAAGGAATTGCAAGAAATTTATCATGTAGTTTTATTAGTATGTATAATAAATTTATTCATTCATATTTTTCTTTACTTTATAATATACTAATTAATTTACTAATACATAATAATTTTATATTTAATATTAATAAATGTTTAGGCATATGGTGCAGAAGAAGATAAAACATTAAATATACCTGGAGAAAATTTAAATAATATAATACCAGGAAGACGATTTGTTGGTTGGTATAATGGATTACCTGCAGATAGTAATTTAAACATTAATTTAGATGTAGAAGAAGCCGTTATATTAGGACAAGGTAATGTTGCTATAGATATTGCAAGAATTTTATTAACACCAGTTGATAAGTTAAAGGTATGTTTTAAACTAAATTTTTTAAAAATTTAATGTATTTAAATATATTATAATTCAAAGTATATATAAAAAAGTATATATAAATGCAATATACTTTTAACATATTTATAACTATATTTTTTTTAGAATACTGATATAACATCATATTCTTTGGAAAAATTGTCAAAGAGTAAAGTACGTAAAATATCATTAATAGGAAGAAGGGGACCACTACAAGCAGCATTTACAATTGCTGAATTACGAGAATTATTAAAATTAAATAATTGTCAAAGTTATTGGCATAAAGATGATTTTATATATGCAAAACAAATAGTTCATACTTTAGTAAGACATCGAAAAAGATTAATTGAACTTATGTTAGAATATTTAGAAAAAACACCTTCAGATACAAAAACAAAAGAATTATATCTATTATTTTTAAGAAGCCCTGTGAAATTTTTAGGTTCTAAAGATATAAAGAGTATTAAATTATCAATAAATAAGCTTGAAGGTAATAATATAACTACACAATTTGCTATACCTACTGGATTATTTGAAGAAATTGAATGTGGTCTAGCATTTCGTAGTATTGGTTACAAATCTGTTCCAATAGATGCATCAATACCATTTGAGAAAGAGAATGGTCATATTAAAAATATAGCTGGAAAAGTCAAAGAAAATCTTTATGCTGCAGGTTGGGCTGCAACAGGTTCAATAGGAGTTATATTATCAACAATGACAAGTGCATTTCAAGTTGCTACATTAATAAATAAAGAATTATCAATTACAAAAAACAAACCAGGTTTTGAAGGTTTGTCAAAAATACTTAATCATAGAGGAGTACCTACAGTATCATATAATGATTGGAAAAAAATTGATCAAGTTGAACGTGAAAGAGGGAAAATATTAGGAAAACCAAGAGAAAAAATAATTGATATTAATGAAATGCTAAAAATTGCTTTAAAATGATATAAGTATAAAAAATAAATAAAGAGTAAACTTTTTTCATTTTTCAATAATCATAAATAAATATTAATGAAATGATTTTAAATTATAAAAAAATTTATATTTAATTTAATATTCTTTAATATATAATCTTTAATATCTTTAAAATTATTTCTTCAATATCTATTCAATATAGAAATATAATTAATTAATTCATTTTAATTGTAAGCAATATATTATAATTACTTACATTATATTATAAATATATTTTTGACAAAAATATTTAAAATAAATAAATTTTTATTTTAAGTAAAATCTTATTTTTCTAAATATGAATAATTAGTAAATTTAATTTACTAATTAATTATTTTATTATTAATTAATACGTACAATTACATTTTTAATAGTATTAAAGATCTGTATGCTATAATTATTTATTAAAATTATTTCTTTTTTATTCAATTTTATAAACTATAATTTTAATAACATTTCCAATATAAAATTTATAAAAAAAAATAATATATATTCTTATAAAAAAAAAATGAAAAATTTCTAAATCTAGTCACTTTAACCTTTCAATGTTACTTATACATATTGATCTTCGTCGGTTTTTATTTTTATTTCCAGTTTTATAAACAATAAAAAAGATTTTATATTATATTAAATATAAAAACAAATTAATTATACTATGCTGTATTTGTTTTACATATTAGTAAAAAGTATTAATTATTTAAAAATAAAAAATTACTGTATTTAAAGATATCTAATTGTCAACTACTTATTAGAATATTAAATAATATATATAAAATAATATTTGTGTTTATAATAATAATTATTTATATTATTTTTTTTACTTTTTTCTCATAATAAATAATATAAATAAATGAAAAATAAGTTAATGTGTTCTAAATAAATTTTAAAAAACTGGATATAAATTTTAAACTATATACTATGGTTAATTAAGTTTAATATTATTAAATATAATAAAAAATGAATTTACGAGAACCAAGAAAAAAACGTCGTGTAAAATTAAAAGAACAATTACCATTTCCACTTATATTATCAGGTGATGAAAATGAAACATGGACAACATATACTGCTCATCTTACAGATTTAGGATCATGTATAATAGATCCAAAAGAAATTGTTGCAGTACATTCTATGGTAATTATGATCTGAAAATAAATATTTATGTGTAATTAAAATTTTCATTTCATTTATATTTAAACATATTTATTTAGGGTTTTTTTGGAAAAGGATCTTTATCACGTGGTTTTCCTTCATTTGGTAAAACACGATATGGAGCACCTCCAGTTGTAAGAAATAGACAATGGCTTCGTAGACAAGAATGGTTAAAACAATTTAATGAACTTAGTATGGAAGCTAATAGTAAAAATATAAATTTAGAAGAAAACAAATGTGAATTTTCTCATTCTAAAAATATCAATCAAGATGATAATGAATTTTTAAATAGTCCAACAAAAGAAAGTACACCAGATATAATTGAAATAGATACAAATTCTGCTTCATTAGATGAAAAATATAAAAAAAATCAACAAATTAATAAATCTAATAAAAAGATAGAAGGAAATCATACAAATATAAATTCCATAAAAAAAGATGATACATTAATTATTATAGAAAATAATGCTAATAAACAATATAATAATACTGATAATAACAAAAAAAAATCTATTGAAAATGAAGAAAAAGAACATTTTACAGATTTTAATTTGAAAGAAGATGATTTACATTTTACTGATAATATAGATATTGAAAACAAATTACTTGTTTTACCAGATAGTGATACAGAAATTGAAAATTATTTAAAAGAAATAAAACCTAAAATTGAATCTGAAAGTTTTCCAATTCAAGAAACATTGCATCTTACATTTGAGGAAACATTTTTCCTTTTGTATGGTTTAGGTTGTTTGAATTTAATAGATTTTGATGGTAATTTGTTAGATATTGATAGTGCTTGGCATTTTTTCTGTAAAACTGATAAAAATTTTATTCCAAAGTATGTTGTATATCATTATTTTCGAAGCAAAGGATGGGTAGTAAAACCTGGTCTTAAATATGGTGGAGATTTTTGTTAGTATTATTTTCTTTTTTCTTGTTGGTAATAATGAAATTTGAATAATTTTTTAAATAAATGTTAAAGTTTTTTTTTTATTATTTTTTAGTATTATATAAACAAGGACCACCATTTTATCATGCATCTTACATTGTATTAATAGATATTTTAGATGGTGATGCATTAGTCACAGATCAAAATAAATGTATGCGCAAATTAACATGGAATAGTTTATTAGGATTAGAAAGATTATCAGAAACTGCTGCTAAGGTAATTCATAATTTATTAAATAATTTCTTTATTATATCTTTTTCATATAAAATATTTTGAATTGTAAACTAAATATATATATTTATATAGGAAATATTATTTGCACAAGTTTTATGGCCATCTTCAGTTTTACATACATCTAACTCCTTAAATGTGGATATACTTTCTGAATTTTCTGTAAGAGAATTATTATGGAGAAGATGGAATCCTAAACATAATAAAGATATAGAAGAGGAAGAAGATGATTCATGTTAATTTTGTATTTAACATTTATCATAATTGTAAATAATAAATATACGTTCAAAATTATTCTTTTTTTTTTTTTTACTATAATTATAATAGCATTTTAATAGCTTCATTTCACTTACAATAAACTAAATTACATATACTAATAAAAAATAATTATTAATATATTATACAATTGAAGATCCAACTCTCCCTAATTTTGATTTTTTAGGAATACCAGTTCTTCTATACTCACTTCTCTCTTCTAAATATTCTTGTGTACATTCTTCTTTAAATTTTGGATCATTATACCATTTTGATAAACAATCTATTAATGCAGTATTTTCTTTCTTACATTTAAATGGCATTAGATAACTAGCATTTTTACAACATACATTGAACTCTATAAATAAAATACTTAATTATTGCTCATTAAAAGATATGTAATAAAAGAATTACCTTGAACCTCTTGAATGCATTTTTCTTGTTTTGCTTTATCTCGCATTTTTTGTGGTATGAGAATGTCTTTCTCTACTTTTCTTAAAAATTTATCTTCTGGATCTCCTACAAATATTTATATTGTATTATATTTATATTATATATAATATTCATATTTATCGATTTCGATTTTTTGCATTTTTCTATATATGATTTTATTTCTGAATTAAATAATTTATAAAAATTATTTTATTTAATTATTTAAATTAAACATAATTTAATTTTTATGAAATTTATATTTTGATAAAAACAGAAAGATAAAATAACCTTATTTATATATGCGATAAATTAAATTAAATTAAAAGTTATATATATATATTTTTTTTTTTATTATAAATTATTAATGCAAAATTTAAAATTTACCCAAATTATGCGGTCCACCTCCATATTTTGGACGATCCGAATTTTTAACTTCTTTCATTATTATTAAACTTAAAATAATACTACTAAAAATTCTGTAACTGCTAGTCGCTACAACAGGCTGCGCTCATGAGTGTGCAGATTTGAGAATTGTCAATGCATTAGCTTATAAAAGATATGTTTGTTTAATGCTACGGATGACTGATAAATTGTAGTATTTACAGTCAGTGATATAATTTAATAGGTAAGTAAATAAATGTAATATTTTATAGAAATCGAAAAAATATAATTTTTTCTGAATATATCGTTAACAAAGTTAACCTCATTAATAATTGAACTAAACATAAATATAAATAATTAAATAATTATTACATTTTATATTTTGATTTCCGAATTAATTATTGTACAATATTTTTAGAATTATTAAAAGAAATAAAAAATAAATAGTGATGGATCGATTATTGAGATTAGGAGGCGCTATGCCAGGTCTTAGTCAAGGACCTCCACCTTCAGATGCTCCAGTTGTTGACACTGCAGAGCAGGTATGATTTATTTGATCATAATTTTCTATTTATTTATTTCAAATAAATATTATCATATTATTTTATAATTATTCTATATTTATCTTATATTTTATGTTTTTAAAAAAATACTTATAATTTATAAAAGTTTTAATTCTAATATCTTATAATTTTTTTTTATCATACTTTCTTTTTATAGCTCACTTTTTTAATAGCTACCAGATATATATATTACATGAATTGCTATATCTAAAGAATTTATAATATGTCAATATCAAACTAATAAATCATTGATATAATAAAATAATAAAAATGTTAAATTATAATAGATTCACATTAATATAAATTACTATATATTTGTTAACAAAATATTTTTATTAGGTATACATATCATCATTAGCTCTTTTAAAAATGCTTAAACATGGACGTGCTGGTGTACCTATGGAAGTGATGGGTTTAATGCTTGGTGAATTTGTTGATGATTATACTGTGCGTGTAATTGATGTATTTGCTATGCCTCAAACAGGAACGGTAAAAATTGAAATTTTATTTTTCTCTTTTTTATTATAAATTATTTATTATTTTATAAAATAATTATTTAATATATGTTTCTAATATTCAATTTAATAATATATATTATTTTTTTAGGGAGTTAGTGTAGAAGCAGTTGATCCAGTATTTCAAGCAAAAATGTTAGATATGCTTAAGCAAACTGGTCGGCCAGAAATGGTAGTAGGATGGTATCATTCTCATCCAGGATTTGGTTGTTGGCTCTCTGGTGTAGATATTAATACACAACAATCATTTGAAGCTCTTAGTGAAAGAGCAGTGGCTGTTGTTATTGATCCTATACAATCAGTAAAAGGAAAAGTTGTTATTGATGCATTTAGATTAATTACTCCTAATACTATGGTATGTAGCAAATTGAAATAAAAATTTTGTTTCAATGTATACATATTTATTAATACTTAATTTTATATAAAATTATAGGTTTTAGGACAAGAACCTCGTCAAACTACATCCAATTTAGGTCATTTACAAAAACCATCTGTTCAAGCATTGATCCATGGTTTAAATCGTCATTATTATAGCATTAGTATCAACTATCGTAAAAATGAATTAGAACAAAAAATGCTATTAAATTTACACAAAAAAACGTGGATGGATGGTCTTACGCTTGCTGAATATTCAGAACATAGCAAACTTAATGAAAATATTGTATCTGAAATGCTTGAACTTGCCAAAAATTATAACAAGGTATGATATTAAAATGTAATATTGTATATATTTTAATGCAAAAGTTTTTCATTAAATATATTAATTTGAGAATTCATATTTTTAGGCATTAGAAGATGAAGAAAAAATGACACCTGAACAATTAGCTATAAAGAATGTGGGTAAACAAGATCCAAAACGGCATTTAGAAGAAAAAGTGGATACACTTATGTCTACCAATATTGTTCAATGTCTGGGAGCTATGCTTGATTCAGTTGTATTCAAATAACTATTTCTTAAAATACTATTTGCAATATATTAAAAAAAAATATACATCTTTTTAAAATATATGTGTTTATAATTTACACTCAAAAAGTATATATATAACATATAAAAATTTTTGTATTACTTATTTTTATATTAAAAATGCAAATAATGGACAAGTAGATTTTCACATTTTTATTCAAAATGTATTTATGAATATGACAGCCACATTTTCAGACATAATATATAATTTATTATATTATACATAAAACATATATATATATATGTATGTATATATATATGTATATATATTTTAAAATATATGAATGCCTGAAAAAAAATAAAACAACAGATGACAATATTTTTCATGATACAAAAATGTTAACCCTGTGCAGTACTGCATAGTATTAAATGCATAATTTAAAAAATATTATTACAATAAAAGAATCCTAATTCAATTTGTTATACTATATCAGTACTTTGCAAATGGGATTCATTATTTATATACATTTATTGATACTAAATATTGTATCAATATATTTTCATTATTTGTAAAATTTATAATACTCGGCTAATAATTCTTATTCAATTACTAATAAAAGATAGTATAGCATTATTGAATTTTTTAATATAATTTAAATGACCACTATAAATATAATTGATTTGAATTATGATTTGTACAAGTTTACAGAACATATAAAATATTTTTTTTTCAATTTTATATAATGTTCCATAATATATATATATTGCAGAATATGGATATTTTTTACAGCTTTCAAAGATTGCAGAATATGTATACATTTTTAAAGAATTATCTTTGAATAAGAGATTTGCATTTACTTTCATAAAGTAACGTAGCATTTTTCTTATTCTTAAAAAATTGAAATAGTTATACTTTAATAATTATATATTTGAGAAATTATTTCAACTTGCAAGTGGTTCTTCTTGATGTTGATCTTTATCTTTCTTCTTTTTCTTTTTCTTTTTTTCTTCTTTTGTCGGCGATTCCTATTAATCATAATAATAAAATATTTTATCTTTTATAAACATTAAATATGAAAATTAAATATAAATCATTTTACCTCAGTTGCAGCTTCTACTACCATAGATTCATCAGCTTCAGATTCTGTCCTTTCTTTCTTCTTCTTTTTTTTCTTTTCTTTTTTATCTTTCTTCTTCTCTTTTGGTGACGTTAATTCTGACTCGTCAATTTTTTCTTCTTTTATTGAAACCTCTGTTGTAGATTGTGAAACTAACTCTTCCCATTTTCGTTTCTTAGATACAGGATCAGTAACTCCATTTTCTTCAGTCTAATTAATATATAGAACTTAAGTAAATTAATTTTAATAACTAAACATACATAAAAAAATTTGAAAAGAAACAAAATTTAAATACCTTAATTGCAGATGTGGAATAATCTGTATAATTTGCCAACCAATCAGCAGGTGTATTTTCGTTTGGTTTCCCATATTTATCTAATTTTCCTTCAATTATCATACGCTTTTTTATAGAAGCTTTGGGTCCCAAACCCCATTTTCTTGGATATGCATCTCTTTCCATTATTACTCTTTTAATTTTAGCAGCTACACCATGATCACAAGTTGTCATTGTAGGAGATGTCATTAGAGCTATAGCTATAACAAAAAAAAAATTGCAAATAGAATCTTAAAATATTTATTTAAAAAGTGATAAAATAATAAAAAATTTTATTATCAATTGAATTAAGATTATAAATAATATATAACTTTTTTTTACATTAATACTTACCAAGTGCTATAGCTTCACCTTTTGTAGTCACTATTACAATTTCTTGATTCAATTCAATACCATCATCATACATTAAAATTCCTGGTAACATAATTTTAGCTCCATAACAAATAGCATTTACCTATATTAATATAATTATGTAATATTAATAATTATAAAGAAATATATTTCTTCTTCATAAAAAATATATTTATGTAAATGATACATACTGCACTATCTTTTACAATAATTCTTTTATGATTTATCAAAAGTGCTTCTAATGGTTTAATTACTCTTCTCAAATAAGATTCATCTCCATGGTTTTCATATAACCATTGAGCATCAAGTATATCATGCATAGTAACCATTCCATCATTTTCAGATTGAACACCTGAACGATTTCTACGTAATTCTTGCATTTGACAACCAGTGCCTAAGAAGAGGCCGAGATGAACACAAATAGTTCTAATATATGAACCAGCCTCACAACTAACTCTAAACACTCCCATATTACGTTCTTCATCATAGTCAAGGAACCAACTGTCATAAACTGTTCTTACACGAAGCTGACGCTTCACTGCAGAGATAAGTGGTGGCCGTTGAAAGAGTGCACCACGTAATTTTTCTAATGCTTGACTTACCTATTAATTTTTTATTAATAACATTAACTTATCAATGGTAATAAATACAATATTTTAATTTTAATATAGATATTATATTTACCTTTTGTAAACTTTCTGGTGCAGAATGTAATTTAAAAACTGCAATATATTCTTTTCCAGCAGATTGTTGTGATTTAGCTAATCTTGTTGCTCTATCAATGCATACTATTAAGCATCCAGATACTTTAGGATCTAAAGTACCAGAATGACCAGTTTTCTCTACTTTTAAAATTCTTTTTATCCATGCAACAACTTCATGAGATGATGGATTACATGGTTTGTCTAGATTAATGCAACCAGACTTTATATATTCAGATAAAGTACGGTGTAATGGTGTTGATCCACTAGTTAAAGGTGTAAAATGTTTTGTACGAGTAAGCATTTTATCAAAATTCTAAAAAAAAATATAGTTTATGTTTAATTTTATCTACATAAAAAAATTAAATTAAATTATTAAATATATTTAATAAATATAATAGACTTAAAATATATTTTATATTACATACTTTAAATAAAAGAGGCCAATCCTTGTATTCAAGTTTTATAATTTCATCTGAAGGTTCCAATTGACATTTCATTGTTGCTTGAATCTCTCCAAGAGATTTCTTTTTGCTTTTTTTCTTACTTTTATCTAAATAATAAAAATATAAATTAACCTATGAAATTATGTTTATTATAGGTATCAACAAATCAAGATTATTATTAAGCATAACAATTACACGCATAAATGTTGAATTTTATATAAAATAAATATATACAATATATTTATTATATCGCAATTAAAACAAAATTTCTAATAAAATTTTTATTAGATACAAGACACGTGTTTATACCGCTAAATTTTTAATTGATATTTATAACAGAAGATAAATATGTTTTCTCATTTTTGTACATGAACTAAGAACGCTGATTTAAATTAAGAAATACAATATAATAGATATTACATTAAATAATATAATATACGAATAAAATTAATAACAATTACCGCTTTCTGCCATTTTGAAATAAGTAGAAACTACACGTGTACTTCTACGATCCAAGGCGACACCAAACACGCGGGAGTCACTGCATTTAGCGTCCAGAGTACAATATATTTACTTCGTATCATTGGTAATATATAGTTTAGATATGCTACAATATATAAAAATAGAATAATATTAAAAAGAATATTTTATAATCTGTTAGAATATTAAATTTTAAATAAAAAAGAAAAAAAGAAAAAGAATAAAAATAAATTTGATACTATAATACTATAATTTGATAATATAATAAAATAATAAAAATAAAAAATTGTTGGTTACTGTAAAATACCTCATTCATATCTATATATAATATTTTCTATGTATCCAGTTATATTTAAATTTGATTATATATTTTCAATTCTTAAAAAAATATCTTTTATACAATATAAAAGTATAAAATATAAATATTGTACATTATATCTTAATTTTTTATATTATGTAAATTCGAATAAATTTAAATATTTTAATTGAATTTATAATGATGACATACTAGTATTTTATATTCTGCATAGACAAGCATCCACTTTTGAATTGAAAGTTAGTTTACGCGGTAAACTTGGGGGTGGGTGAAATCGGTGAAATACAATAAAAGCCGAGCAGTGAATATAAAAAATATTCTCATGCCAAAAATCACTGCATCATGTTTGTCGACAACTTAGAAAGAGGATTTTATCGTTTGATAAAAAATGACGTAAGTTATTCAACATTCTGTTTTAAAAATTTATTATTTTATTGTTATATAGGTTAAGTAATTTTTCTAAAATTATAAATACATTTTTAAATTATTCTACTTAATTTATTTAACTTACTTTTTTTTAATACATCATTATATATTTTATCTTATTTTTTTAATTGTTTTATGTAATTAAAAATAATAATATAAATTCTTTATTATAGAGATGCCTACTATTGGTTAATTTTGATGTTGATGCTATTTGTGCCTGTAGAATTTTACAACAATTACTTAAAAATGATAATATGATATATACACTTGTACCTGTTCAAGGTATTCAAGATATGGTTCATGCTTTTGAAGAAAATTGTGAAGATGTAATAAAAATTTAAGAAACATATAAATACATATATTCCTCTGTATTAAACTTTATTAATATTTAATATTTATTTAGATAAAAAATGTTATTTTTATAAATTGTGGAGGTACATTAGACTTGGTGGATTTATTACAACCTGTAGAATCTGTGATATTTTATGTTCTTGATAGCCATAGACCTTATGATTTATGTAATGTATATTCAGAAGATCAAGTACGTATACTTGGTAAAATTGATGAAGATGATGAAATTCCAGAATACAATGATATTTTCAAAGATGATTCGGTAATTAATTTTATAATTTTTTACTACATATTATTAATTTAATTAGATATTGGACAATATATTAGATAAAAAATATATTGGAAAAATGTGTTTTACAATTTTTTTTAGTCTGATGAAAGTGAAACAAATGAAGAATTAGACAATGATGAATCTCAAAGAAAAAGACGAAGGTTAAATGAAGAAGATATTATTAAAAGAGCTGGACGAAGAGAATGGTCTGAGAAAAGAGCAACTATTTTATTTAATTACACACAATATAGTTACTATGGCAAATCAGTATGGATTATTAAAATATATGAATATAAAATTTTTATAGAATATAAGAATTAAAATATATTTTATATTTCTATAGAGTGCAATGCTTATGTATGAAATGGCATGGAGTATGTCAAAAGATAATCTAGATATGATTTGGTGGGCTATAGTTGGTTGTACAGAACGAACTATTCTTGATAAAATAGAATCAAGATTAAGTATACTTGAAGAAGGTTTTCTTCAAGCCCATGTATCTAGATTATCTCATAAACAAGGAACTGAAGATGATAAACCACAGCAGCAAAGTGCAGTAAAAATTACCTATGATAAAGAGTATCCTTTAGAATCAAATTTTTGTAAAATTTATAGTATATAATATAATATAAAATTAATGTAATATAATATATGATATAATATAAAATTTATTTCTTTACATAGAAATGTAGTCTCTTACTTGTATTATATCGACATTGGACTGTAGAAGCTAGTTTAAGACATACAGTACCAACTGCAGTGTCATTACGACTTTGGTCTCTTAGAGGAGAACAACGGTTAAAGGAATTGTTGGCAGAAATGGGTTTACCTCTAGCACAATCAAAACAACGATTTTCTGCAATGGATCTTGCACTTAGACAAGAATTGAGACAAATGGTTGAAAAATTAGCAGGAAAATATAAACTAGATACTGTAATTGGGACAAGTTTTACTCTTCAATATGGCTATAAATTTAAATATTGTGCTTCAGATATAGTTTATGCTATGCTTGCTTTAATGGAATCTTCTGTAAGTTTTTAGTACTTACATATCTAACTAGTTATTAGTTTTTTAATGATTTTTAAAATAACACGTTAATATATTAACTTTTTTTAATGTTTCAGTCAAAGGAAAAGTTACCGCAACGCTGTTTTTTAGATGCATCGGATTGTTTATCTCGCACAAAAAAAGATATTTTAGAAAACGGTGTAGAAAAAGCAAAGCTTATGCTTATTAGTATTTTTAAAACTGCACAGGCAATTTTACAAATGAAACAAATTAAAAGCGCTGGTTCATTTCTTTACATAATTATTTCAGACGGAACTGCTGACAGTCTTGTATTTGCACATCCATATCCGTTGATGATGTTGGCTCAGTTTACTTTAAAGGCTTATGTAGATTCTTCGAAAAATAGACGGGCATCAGAATGGCCACTTGTAGCTTCTTCAATATATAATGCAGAAGAACGTCTATGTTTTATGGTTGGTATACCTCCAGTGTGTGAAGATCAACCAAGAAGGTAATTATAAATAATTAATTTAAATTCATCATCAAAATATTGATATTTTAAAATTTTTTTATAATTTTTTTTTATAAAAAATTTGAATATTTTAAAAGAATGTTGAATTATCTTATGATATTTTATAATTATAGTTTATTTGGAAGAGCTTTTGAACAAGCAGCTAAAAATACAAATTGTTATATAGAAGCAGATTATTTTGATACAACAAGTATGTTATGTTTTTTTTAACTTTTTATTTTTTTAAAAAAATATTTATTAAAAATTTTTTAAATATTAATATTTTATGTTTCAGTAATAAGACTGAAAATCGAAGAAAGACCAAAATTTTTGGATGCTCTGGCAGCACTTCTAGCTTAAAATTTTAATAATTTATTTGACATATGAAAATTTTTTGAAAATCTTTTGAAAAAAGAATTTTCTTATTATTTATTTTTTAGAAAAATAGTACAAAATAATGATAATGAAATCTTTTTAAAAAATACGACGATGGGATCAATTAAACATGTTTTATTTTTTATGACATTTTTTTGTGACATATTGTAACTAATGAATATAAATTAGTAATATTTGTTTTATAACTAGTGACAAATTTAGCTTTAATCATATTGTAGATACGTGTACAAAACAAAATTAATGCTATATATATTATGAAATTTTCATTCACTATTATTTCATTTTCACGAATATTGATTAAAAAAATATTTTCAATGAAATAAATATGATTCAAATAATATTCAGGGTAAAACGTAACGTAAGAAATAAAATAACATATAAATTTGTAATGTAAATGATATATAATAAGTATAATTTTTTATATGAAAACAAAATTAACTTAAAAAAAAGTATCAATAAATTTATTCAATTTTTTACATTCATTTATTTTTTAATTTGTAAAATAATTTTAATTAAAACATGAAATTAACGATTAGTAATTATACGAGGAGAACTGAGTTAATAACGAACATTTGCTAGTAATTCAAGATATGTTCGACGTGTTCATTTGGCGTTTATTAAGTAATACATTATATAATATATTAACGTGTGCATGTGTGTACACTTAAAAATACAATTCGCTCAGTTTTTATTGACTATGATATATAATACATGTCTTTTGGTTACTTCCACAAAAGGGTGTGCGAATACAAGCGCCATTTTATGCATGATCCTTCCTAAGAAAGGAGCAATGGTATCACAGAGATAGGATTGAGAAGAGAGGATGGGGTTTCTTTTTTTGTGGTTGTATAATGACCACTTAAAAACTTAACTGCTCCTTCCTTCATATGGCTTCCAATATTTTGTATAAAATTGTCAATTGATTTTAAAAAAATTCAAGTAGAAACGTAATCATTTTTACCAGTTTTATGTACCGCGGCTATTTTGTTTATAGGTAATTTCTCATTACGAAATCCATCGACAAATTGTTGTACAGAATCTACAGTTATTTCGGCACCATCCTCCATAACTACATAAACTCCTCGAGGTATATCAATTGCTGTTAAGAGGGGCACAGCATCATCTAAACCGACAAATTCACGAAGAATATCCGACGTTTCACACTATAATATGAAATATAATAACCATTAGATTAAAAATAAATATATCTATTATATTTATATAAAATCAATCCTTACATCTAATGCTATATAAAACTGTAAAATATCATCTGGATCATCATAATTTGGATCATAATCAGGTCTATCTTGTCTGTATGCTTGTGCTGCTGGCAATAATACGCTTTCTGCGAATTGAATCTCACAATCTTCACCTTCTGTTAAGATATAATAATAAGGTAAAAAAAAAANAAAAAAAAAAAAAAACCAATTAGAAAGTTTTCTTTTTGGACATAAAAATTATACGAAATAAACTTACCGACAAAAAGAATAATTGCCGGTGCATCGTGCAACGAAGTAGCATATTTTTCAGTTAAAATATTCACCAAACGACTGGTCCACGGGAAATTCTGAAAAATTAAAAAAATAAGAAATGTATCGCAAAAAGTCGAAATGATAAAATAATCTAAGTCAATTCGGTAAATTTTCATTTACCAGTCCTTCAGGATCTTCGATTAACTCTGCTCGACCATCCAAAGTTATAATATTATCTCGGGGATCAAGTATCACTAAAGTGGGTATTGCTTGTACGTCGAGAGCTCTCGCTAATTTTCGTCGTCTCTCTTCTTGACTAAAAGGTATCCTCAACCAAGGCATCGTTTCAATA